GAAAAATCAATCAATACAACGATAATATGAGATCCGAGTGATAAAGAAACGTTATTTATAATCAATAAATATATAAAATAATTGATAAAAATATTCATTCCTAAATATATGGTTAATAACAATTTAAAAAAACGTATTAAAATTCCTATCGAAGAAATTCCTTAAATTCTCAGCACCACATAGGAGTTGCGTGATTATGAAAATATATAAGAATAATATATGTATTTATCTATCCACATAATGTACTTTATGTAACAAAGTATATTGTAAAAAATATTTATTTTTCAATTATGTTAATGTATATAAGCATTAAGTACATATAAATATACACATAATTGTGCAGTGAATAATTTCTTTTTGTACTGACGTTCGATTAACTTTTAAAAAGGAGTTAAGGTAACCGATTCAGGAAAACTGACAAAACCAGTCGAATTATATCGGCTGTTTATACTGATTTCACACACACGCTACTGTTAAACAACTCTATACGCTTGTATGGGTGAATGTATGTATACATGTTTGTTACGCTTCCATGCAAAAACTACTGGGTTGAATTTTATGTAGTAATACAGTGTGATCAACAGTTAACACGGACAAAGACGAGAACAAAAACTAGTGATATGTCTGAACTTAGTAGTTCCTTACAACAAAGATCTTGACGCCTTAAATATATATGAAATTTATAAGTAATAAGATATGATATATTGTTTCCGTTGAGCATGGCTAGAAATATTTAAACTAAATCAAATATTTAGGATAAAGGTGTTTTTTTTTAAATAAAGCTCCGAAGCTAAAAGGAGTATATAATGTTATAAGGCTAACGTGCATGTCTGCCTGTGTCATAGTAGCTCTCAAACGGATCGATCTTTTTTGATGCAGTTTTTTTCACTTTAAAGTCAGTTTCCTTGAGGCGATTCTTGGCTACGTTTGGTTAATGTCGGTCCAGCCATCTAAGAGTAGCAGCAATTTTTCAAAATTATAGACATTTTTCTCATATAACTCAATTTCACTTCACGCTTGTCTTTATACTAAGTGCAATAAAATAATTTGGAACATCAATATTTAGTATATTCTCACATTATATTATTAAGGTATGTTATTGATTGAGATACGAGAAGTAATTCGTATGTACCATATTATAGTAGTCTAAACTAAACTATTAGTAAGCGTACACAATACACATACCCATGCATGATTCACTCACTGTTCCAGGATGGTAATGTATGTGGATCATATATGCATGTGTATAACTTGTTATATGATTAATACCGGCTCGCTTTGTTTACTATAAGGTTTATATATTCGTATAGTTTTCAGTACTATAAATACAAAATGTACGAATGCGTTAACTCCATACTTGTAGTGTGATAGTAACATACATGGCTACCGCCGTAAGCTTGTTGTGCTTCAGTAACATATAGTATGACAAACAGCACAACTGGAAGTCCTAGAAGTGTTTATTTGTTATATTTATTTCTCCCAATATCTGAATCCATCACCATCCCCAACTCTTGCTCATTTTCTTGTGATCATCATAGTACATATTTTCTTCTATACCTACCCTCAATCTTAACCTACTTCGACTTAGAAACTGACTAGCTTTTGACTGATTAATAATGGGTGTTATGTTCATTTAACTATCCTGGTTTAATTTGAATTTGTTATAAATATATTATTTTTGAATATTAGTCATGTACATGCCATGTACAGTCCTTGGAAATCAAACCTTACCCAAGTTACAAGCACAAAGTAAATGTTTCTATATACATTTGTAAATATAATAATATCGCAATAAGGACAATGTCCAGACTTATATCTGTAATTAAAATGTTTTATTATGTTAAAAATAGCTACATTGGAATGATAAATACGGATAATGTAAGTGCATTAATTAATTTAACAAGTTATTGAAGATGATACTGAAATTGTTATTAATAGTTTTAGGTTTATAACTGTTTGTCAGTGAATAAGTTACATAAAAATCAATATAGTAAACTTAATATGATAATAAATTATTGAATTGTTACATGATAATGTACTTATATAAATAAAAAAAATGAATGTCGGTAACTGATAAGCTATAGAAATTAAAAATATCTTTACCATTTGAGCAATTTTTTTAAAGTTCTTTAAGACCCTCGACAGGAGTGATGCTAAAAAAAAATATAAGAAATAAAATAATGTGCGTACACTCGTAAAACAAATTTATTTTTAAAAATATGAAATTGCTTTTAGCCTAAATTGTCAACGTTTATAAAAAATCCTAACTTACTGGAGGGGAGGTTCGAAAATTTAATTAATATGGTTATCAATAAAAATGTAACAATTATCTTATTGTTGTTGACTTCTGATTAAATCATTTAAGCTAACGAAATCTGTTGATTATAGAAATATAAATAGTTATGAGAGAGCAATCACCAAATGCTCAATCTGATTGCATGCATGAGGTGGACGAAGTTATACGCTTTTTGCGTTTCCTTAGCAAAAGGATTGGGACAATTTACCTGTCTTAATATCCCCAAAATATGTTTTGGGTAACTAACACTGCGAGCGTGGTCACCAACTACCACTTATTTAAACGTACCAATCGACTCGACTCGACTATCATACCACTGGAATGATGACGAATATTATTCAGTTGAATTTAAACGAGAAATATTTTATAATTATGCAATTTATATGATATGAAACTATGTATTACCATTACTATGTCCAAATTCACCTACAAACGACGTACACAAAGGTCATATGACATACGGATTGATATTGAACTTGTATGTGCTATGAACTTTGACCTTACGAAATACAGTTTTATTATCAACTAGAAGACCTGGCGAACTTCGTATCGTCCTATAATCAAAAAATATCTATTACGTTTTTTTATTTATATTTTTGGAGTTTACCTGTAAGCCATAAATCTCTGTGTTTTGAAGTGCGACAGAATGATTGACATATTAGTAAGTTGTCAAATCTAATGTCAAAAAATACGTTTGTATGGGAAATAGAAAAGGGCTGTTTTTATGGTTTTCCCATTAATTAATCAATTTTTTTCGGCTTTTATACCTTCCCTGAACCTCCACGAACATTTCAAGACTAAGATAATATAAATCCGTTCAGCCATTCTCGAGTTTTAGCGAGACTAAGGAACAGCAATCCATTTTTATATATATAGAAGATAAATGATACGAAAAACATTATCAGATTATCTTAATATTTTCATATTGATAAATAACCTTGAGTGAGTCCGCTTCGTCCACTTTGTTATCAGTGACTAATATTATCAAAATTAAAATCATGATAAATTTTAAATCTTGCAGATTATTTTTTAATCTAATATCTTAATAGCTAATTTATACGTTGAAGTGTTGAGATGTTTTGCTTTATTAGCAAAATTATGTTCTTTTGCTAATTTATGTATGTTTATATCAATATTCATGTTTATAATGTGACCAATATTAGAATTAGAATTGATAAAATAATAATAAATTCAGTATTTAATTCAACGAAATGAAATAAAATTTTATATTATTTATTTTTAGTTAATAATTTTGATATAATATTGTGATTATGTGAGAATGTCTTTTAACTTAAGAAAGTCTAGATAATACATATTTTATTACCAAATTGTTTCGTCTAATATATTTATAAAATGTCCATATTACAATGTTAGTTACCGTACTCCGGAACGGCTTTACCGATTTTTACTAAATTTCATATGCGTTTTTACTAAGTCTGAGAATCGGCTACTGTCTATTTTTTATATCCCCAAGGTATAAAAGTTGTTTAAGTTTGATTTTAAAATTTTTAGATAATTTTTTTTATTTTTAGTTGTTTTATAATGTGGTATTAAAAATACCAACAACCCTACATTTTTACTTTTTTATCACCAACCCCTATTTTTTTTATATACCATAACAATGTTTGCCGGGTCAGCTAATATTTATACAGGAGTATATAGTCCTTTTCAGTAGAAGTTGGCAATCTTGTAAACAAAGGAAATTGACCACGATTACTCCGTTCTTACGTAAAATTGAATATCAGTCCTATGAATAATTACATCTCAATGAACCCGCCATTGTTTTTAACAATCTTTTCATCATAAAACAACAATTTATTTAATAAAATTATTTTGAATACGAAAATTTATTGCATTCGTCAAATTGACACGATCATTTTTGTTACTCATCATTTCTATTTGTCTTTGAAAAAATAGTGGTGTACATAATAATATTTTTAAAATGAACTACTTTTTGTCTGCGACTTCCTATACTTTATTTTTAAACTTAGAAATGTATAGCTGACCGGGCAACTCTGTTTCTCCTTAAAAGCAGTAAAGCTGTTCTTGAACTAAAAAATGATGTAACTGACACGACTGTCATGTTTAAATAAAGATAGTAATAATCATTATTTTTTGAATTTTAACCAACTCACAATTATTAAAAAGATTTGATTATATTAAACACTATAGTGTATTCAACAGGCTGTGATGAAAATCAGTCCGTTAAACAAAATTGCCTTCTTTTCTGGTTTTAGCAGACGGAAATTAACATAGGTAGCTCTAAAAAGTATAAATTAACCATTTTTTTTTTTAAATCGTTAGTGATCTCTTAATACTTATTGACCTTGATGCAAACAATTCTTCTGTGTTCTCGTTTGTATTCTGCATTTCTAAACTCATTAAAAAAATCTCACTAATAAATACTTAACAAAATATGAACAAATTGAAGTATTTTTTTATATTTAACTTTAATCCAATAATTAAGATTAATGTACCTTGAAGAGTACTCACGTCACTAGGGGAATAGACAAGTCTCTGACAATATCAGCTGATCACGTTTGTTTACAAGATTGCCATTTTCTATTGAAATGAACTATACATATATGTATTACCAATCAATTTCGTAGTTTATATCAGAAAAATAATCGAAAATTGATTCCCTAGTGTAAGTAATATTGACAATTTAAGAAGTGTGAGAGTGAGTTTATATCTCGTGTTCTAGATGAGGAGTTATCTTCAGTGAAGGTGATATCAGCGGAGGTGTCAGACGAGGCCTCCCTCCGGTCCATGACGGCCCAGGCCCGCGTGCTGGTCAACTGCTGCGGGCCTTACCGTCTGTATGGGGAGCCGGTGGTCAAGGCTGCTATAGACACCAAGACACACTACGTGGACGTCAGCGGGGAGCCGCAGGTTAGTTGACACGAAAAGCAACACAGTATCCTGTTGAACAGAACACACAACACAGTATGAATGTTTGTCAATCACACGATAACTATAAATCTTAGGTGGTAGAGCCTAGCTATAGTCATGTAACTATAGAATATAGATCGAACATGGGCTGGCTCGACCTGGGAAGCACCACCCTCTCACGAAAAACGGCGTGAAGTAGTCTTTAATGGCTGCGTTTTGACTGATGAGTGAGAAAGCCGGTTGCCCTTTCCCTGTTCCCACCCATTCCTGCAATTTCCTTATTCCTATAATACTAAGGTTTGTAACGCATCCGCAAGAGAGATGTTGCGTATGTCTATGGGCGACGGTAGCTATTGCCCATTCAGTAGGCCGTCTGCTCGTTTGCTACTTCTAACATAAAAAAAACTACTTGACAGATTGTGTGAAAAACAGATAACATCAGATAAATACATAAGCTTTAATGTACTCCCCAATCCTTTGTAGTTACGAGTTACGACACTATTGATACAATGACTGTTGTATCATGTATCAATTACTATTAATTCTCATATATTGTTTAATGTTTTTTGCATATCTATCAGGCATGGTTGATCCAATGTTTACATAGATTTTTCATTGAATTGCTTAGTTTTTAGATTGCAGTTAGGGGAAAGTTGTCTAAAAGATTCAGAGTTATAGATTTAATATCAAAATTTTAAAACATTCCTCACAATTTTTTATTTAATTGAAACGAAGAAATAAGTTCGAAAGTAACTATTTTGCTAATAGTACATAATGGAGTTTATATTTAAAATTTGGATTTTTTACAAGTATTGAATACAAGAAAGCACGGTATAAATTTTCTGAGTTATATAACAATATATTTTATATTAAAAGTTTCAAATTCAAACTTTTTTAAGTACATATTAATAATACTTATTTTATAATATGAAATCAAATATAATATAGGTAGAACACTTTAGTATATTAGGCTCTGTCATTCTTGTTACTCGGCACATACATATATTCTTATTGAACACTACAAATTAATAAAAAGATCAAATATTGATTTGATACTAATTACTAAGTATTAATTGGGTTGAATGTTCAGCGACGACCTGTTGGTTTTGCCATGTCAGCGGTTACTCAATATGTATCGCGTGTATGTATGTATGTTACATTGTTACATATTAATTATCGTCTAAGTATGGACCTAATGAGTCTGCAAAGTCAATAGTTGTCTTATATGTAGTTATCGATGGAACATACGTAACGGAATACGGAAACAAATACTAAATCCTTCCGTTCTGTCTGTTGTAATATGACGTAACAATGCTATCATTATCAATTTGTTATTACGTCGATTTATTAAAAACCTAAAAACAGCCCTTTTCTATTTCCCATACAAACGGTTTTTTGACATTAGATTTGACAACTAACTAATATGTCAATGATTCTGTACTATTGAAACAGGAAAAAATTAATAAATACCAATATCTGGTTATTTAAGACGGAAAAGAGTTCGCCCGGTCAGCTATACATAATATGTATATTAATAATGACAAAATTAAAGCGGACGAAGTCGCGGGCAAAAACTAGTATGTATATCATAAATGTTCGCGCGTCATTTTTTTCGTTGTAACCTCCAACCTTTTTTTTTGCATCCGTCTGGAAGTAAACTCGTTTATAGGTGACATAAAGCTAATTTAAAATATATGCCAGGCATGACGGCCTGGCAGGTATACCAGGACGTGATAAAATATACAAGATCATATATTTTAAATAAATGAAATATAAACCATAGAAAGTGTTGATAATGTTCAAATATAAATCTTTTAGAATATCTAAAATATGTTTATAAAATAAGTCTATATTAACTTCGTACATACATATATTAATAGAGCTAAATTTATGTTGTGTTTGTAATATTAAAACTTTAACGGGATTTTCAGATGGCTGAAGTAATATGGAGTGACTTGACTAGTTTTATTTAACAAATTCAATTAATTTTTATTAAATATTAATAACAAAGGGCTATTACATGTGTAATACTTCAATTATTTTCCAATTAACAAAACAAAATCTCAGAGGATATTTGTAGCGTTGTGATTATAGAGCTTACGGTTCCTTGGGAAACCAACATCCCCAAAGACCATAACATCAAGGTCAACAAATATTACGAGCTCACTAACGAACTCGCTTGAAAAAGGTTCGCCGTGGATTTGTACGCGGTAGAAGTGAGAGTCAGAGGCATAAAGGTTAAATCTCTACAACCTACTAAAGGACTCAGGCGTGTCCAGGACTAATATCAAATCATTATTCGAACCTACTGCGAAGACAGCCCCAGTGGCTTCTTTTCAAATTTGGTTAGGTAGAAAACGAGCTTGGACGGTGAAGATGAGCGTTTAACGCGTTAGATAGGGGTCCCTTAAACCTACACCTGGGTCGCAAGTCCCAGTCACTGTTGAAGCTCCTCTCACTACAACTATGGATCCGACACCCGCAAGGTTAATACATTGAATGATGAGAAGTTTGCTAATATAATTGCATAGTACTGTAACACATATGAAAGTAGTCTGTACTTTCCTTTATCCCTCGCCCTAGTTCATGGAGACCATGCAGCTAGTGTACGGGTCTCTGGCTCGCGAGGCGGGCGTGTTCATCATCAGCGCCTGCGGCTTCGACAGCATCCCCAACGACCTCGGCGTCATCTTCATGCAGCAGAACTTCGAAGGTATATAACACGAACTACCCACTAACAACAATATATAACATGTTGACTTAGGTTTAATATTTGTCTTATATTTCGCTGTAATGTCTTTTTGAGTTCTCCTCAGTGGAGACCATCTCCTGTCTCTCATTCTATCTCTTTCTCAATCTCCAATATCTCTTTCACCTGTCATCTACAAGCTGTTTCTTTATATTATGTAATTCTCACTATAAACCACCTCTCTGTTTTATTTCTCATTTTCTTCCTTATTCTTCGCTACACACGTATCAATATAGTATTGTCAACTTTGCAAATATGAGTTTTCTTATTTTGCATGCGTTATTTTTGTTCTTCTTTGGCAAAACGTTCGTTAATACTTTTGTTATGATTGTCAACATTTTCTATTACTTAATTGCACCCCAGACATTTTTTTGCCAAAAAAGCCGTTTGGTCCATGATAGTGTTATTATTACGGTTATTGCTTTAGTTAATTAATATTATTTCTCAGTCAGTCTAGACTAGTCTAACTAGTCGAATTGATATATGTTTCAGGTACATTAAACAGTGTGGAGTCCTATCTATCAGGCGAGGTGCCTCCCGAGCACAGCGGGGGCGGAGTCGTTAACTACGGGACCTGGGAGTCGCTAGTATATGGGTTAGAAACATTTACCTTAACTAGTATTACTTATATCGTAAAGCTAGAATTAGATTGATTTCTATCATATGGAGTTCGGTTATATAGCGTTTCCAAGAGAACCTTTAAAAAGTCTGGGATAAAAACTATCCTGTGTTCTTTCTCAAGGTCAACTCTATCTCTGTACCAAAATTCATGAAAATCAGTTCAGTGGTTTAGCCATGAAAGAATAACAGACAGACAGACAGAGTTATTTTCGCATTTATAATAATAGTAGGGATTTATTAGTGATTAATGTGTATGATGTTTCAGTGTGTCGCACTACGACGAGCTGCCGGCGCTCAGGCAGAAACTGTACCCTGAGAAACTACCAACATACAAACCTAAACTAAAGTCAAGGTGAGGGAAGATATATGACGATTGATAATAAACATTCATTAGAACGAAAAACTACTCAAATAGTTGTATACTGTGAATTAAATTGACGAGAACGTTACGAAAAGTGTGATCGGTTAAAGAGAACTAAGTTAATGATGATACATAGACAGATTCGTGACTGTAAAATTTAAATTAGGCTTTATTAAAACTCGTGTGAAGTTTCGCAACAGACTAAACTTTTATTTCACTCTTATAAAAAAACCACAGATAAAAATAGAACACACATTCTGATATATTTCGCTAATCGCTAATATATATTTTTGTTATTTATGACAATGAGAATGAGAGAGAACACATACATTCTGTCTCTTTCTCCCACACGTTACTTGCATCTTACGAAGTTATTCCTGTGATAAAGTTAGTAACTATATTATCTATCTCTTTTTCTCACAAAATTTTTTGCATCCAAAGGGGTTATATCACTAACTGTATCTGTCTTATCTCTTAGGTTTTTTGTCTCTTTCTGTCACACGTGTCTTCAATCTAAAGAGGTTTAATTCTATCTCTTTCTCAGGTTCGTGCTTCATAATCGTGACGGCTGGTGTGTGCCATTCCCGGGCGCGGACGCATCCGTAGTATATCGTACGCAGAGATATCTACATACAGAGGGCGCGCGACCAGTACAGATCAAGACGTACTTACGGCTACCATCACTAATATCAGCATTACTAACTATTTTAATGGCTGGATTGCTCTTTATTATGAGTAAGGTGTCATTGACCCGGTCGTGGCTACTCAAGTACCCGGAGTTGTTTTCTATGGGCGCGGTAAGACGCGGGCCGGCTGAGGACGCTATACGGAATACTAAGTTCAAGTTCGAGCTGTATGGAGAAGGGTGGAAAGGCGACTGTGGGGCAGAACCTGATAAGAAGATGACTGTTAGGGTGAGGGAGTTGATAGTACTTGATAGTATCGAATAGAATTCGCTGGGTGCGTGTATCAGCGCCATCTAACGATACAACTTACGGTGGCTCTTTTGAGAAAATAAACATCTATTGGATGTCAAATACATTTAAAAAAAATAAAAACAACTTGGCAAAATTTTTTTTTCAATGTGAAATGTGATAGAATGAATATTAAATTAATATTTTTTTTGGGTCAGATAAAAACAGTAAGTAAAATAAATATAACACATAAAACAAGTCTCAATAAATGAATTAGGTGAAGACATCTGTCAAGATGTTTATTGTAAAATTAATATAGAATAAAAATTATTATTAATATGTAATAAAAAACAATCTAAAATAATATGTAAGATAACAATGGAATTAGATGTTAAGAACGGGTTTTCAATCTATCAAACAATATTATTTTTCAATCACAGACTCTGAAAAAGGGTAAAAAATTTGTTTTGTCTGAGCTCGTGAGAGATGTTGAAGAACATCGAAAATTAAATCAAAGTTATTTAATTAAATCGCGACTAATTAACGACTAGATTCATCATCTACTTTTTCACGGCCAATGAAGTGTTCACTGTTCATATAACATCCATAGGTTTTGGAGACCATAACTATCTATCAATACTTTACAAAAATATATTTATTTAATTATAACTCCGTTTTCTTACACGACATACGCATGTATATGACATTATTCTGTAGAATACGGTTGTGGGTTATAGTAATACTTACTTTTGACTTTTAACAGCAGTTATACATTTATTTCGCAGATTTAATTTCCACTTGGCAACCAGAAACTTATAAAATGTACAATTACTATTCCTACCAGTATTTTTGGAATCGACTGCACAATAACTTTATGACCAATTTTATTTTATTTGTTTAATTAAACTGACACACGTGTTATTGTTATGGTCATAGATAATAAAGAGCCACCCGTAGTTCCGTATTGTCCGCAGAGGGCGCTGACATCACTTTTGTGACTCCAATATACCTTACGCACCCGGCGAATATCTGGCGAGAAATATTATTTTTCAAAATTTGACATCTTATGTTGAGTAATCGTAGTGTCTTGCCGATAAAACAGGTTCAATTTCTTTGTTGACACTAAGTTCAAATAAAAAAAGACAATATACGTATTATACAATAAGGAAACACATTGAAAATTAATATGATATATGTTTACAAATATACAAGAATTGTTTGTTTGAAAGTATTCGATGAAGAATGTAGTTGTGTAGGAATCAATATATCGTTCCAGGTGTCGGGAGTGAACCCCGGGTACGGCGCTACGGTCCACGCGCTGCTGCACTCCGCTATCACTATACTACAACACAGGGACCGCATGCCCGCACAGTGAGTACACACACACACACCCTCAAACATATTAACACTGTTATAATAGTACACATTTCAGATAAAATTTGTTTTTGTACTACCGTGCTTGTTATTACTTAAGTTTTAGTATGGAATCCTACTACAGGTATTGATGTACTTAAAAGGGGGTACCCAACGATGTATAAACATGTGTACTACTTTGAATGAAATAAATTATTTTTATTAAAAAAAAAACACACACACACACACACTCATATATGTATGTATGTGTTCCAGGGCGGGCGTGTTGACCCCGGGCGCGGCGTTCCGTAACACGGACATCATACAGAGACTCAACGACCACGGCCTGAAATTCGAGGTGGTGCGCGACTAGTGACGTCACACTATATAATTCATCCCTACTCCTCTCGTGTAACGTGTCACATGAGCGATAGACGCTCATTGATTGTGGTGCTTTTTTATGTAAATGGTCTAAGATCTTGTGAAATAAATATATCTCTGTATATCTTGTTTACTATTTCTTATGTAATTCTGAATAATTACTACGCATATTCATACCTAAACATATTCTGTATGTTACGTGTCATATACATATAACTCGTTAAATTATCTTAGTCACCTTTACATCAATAATAATAAGAGTATTCGCTCGTTACTAACCAGTTAAATTTCTTTGATATTGTGAGGGTGCAGAATAATAAATAATTCATAGTAACAGTGTCTGCGGACCAGAAAAGGAAAAAATAGACGTGATGTGTCTAGGTCATTATTATGAAACATATCTGTATTGTTCTGGCTCAATATACAGTAGGAGGAAGTACGATACTCTTGGTATTGTAACTTATTAATGTAAAGAAGTATAAATGTTGTCAGACCTTTAATCCGTGTTCCAATAAATTCATTAAAACAATGTTAAGTGTACGGTATGGTTTCATTCAGGGTATTTTATAACCGATCACCGATTCAACAACCATGATGACCGATCACGTTAGAATAATGATGATAAAGAATATACAAATACTATGTAAGCAATTTAATATTTTTGATAAATGCAAGTTATTGTTTCTGTTGATGGTAATCCACATCAGTTATCCTCACTGAGGATATGTAGTATAGTACGTTTGATTTAAGCTGAGCTTTAGTGTAGGTGTGATGTCAAATTTTTGAATACAACGTTCTTTTCTAGTTTTGTACCGGTTTATACTGATTTTAAGTTTTACTCCACCCCGCACCTTCCTTACTTCACTCTTTGTACTGGTAGCAGCGTCAAATGTTGAAAACGCAATGTCAAGTAAAGAAGAATTTGTGTAGTTTTTTCAATTTTTTTATTAATTAATAAAAAAATCTATAACATAATATTTACATCTGGTCTTTTTCAAGTTTGCTTATTTTATTTTTAAATTTGTAGTTACCGAGGTTTGCTCGGTATTTAGGAATTATTAGTATTAATTTTGTGTTTTTTTGTTATTTCGTTTAGGCATTTTTAAGTCAATACGTTAAATAAACAAAACCATATAAATCAACAATTAATTTCTTAGTCTAATCTCAAAACATGACTTCATGGTACTTAAAAACGCCATCTGCTGTTGTGTCGTTAAAACAATTAGTAAAAGCAAGTAGCAAAAAGTAGTATTACTATTCGCCAATAGATGTCAGGAAGAGTCGTATTTTAAACGACTCCTTTTTGTTAAAGTTTTTTTGAAGAAAATAACATTTCCTAAAAATTATTCCTAGCTCGATCAATTTATCGCCCCCGAAACCTCTTAAAAGGAAGATATAGAATACTTCTAGCATTTATGTTGTGTATCTATTTAAAATATAATATAAGTTTTTCGTCTAGCTCTACTTTTACTTTCACTCACACAAATGCAAAGCTCAGCTTAAGTCTAACGGACTATACGCGAATAAGTAGGTAATTCATATAAAATTAAATGTATTCAAAACGAGACGATGGTTGTTCTGTTGCCCTATGGACAATATCACCAAATTCTCGTTTGCTAGATAATATATATCAAATTGTCAACAGGCTATCAGTAGGGACTAAGGGTATGAAATTATATTACATTATTAAAAGGCATAGAAACGAGCGCGATCTATAAAATCGACGGTCAATGAATGTACTATTATGTTGTAGATAACTGACGATAGATGGCAGTAGGTATATACATTTTATTAACTCAAGTTTCTATTTTGAATTCCAGTTACCGAATTTTTCCAAAAAACATTCCAGTGCTGTTCACGGATTTTGAGTTGTTGCATAATATTATTTCAACTAAACTTATTTACCAATTTCTTTATGTGTGTCTGTGATATTATTTGAAACGCACCCTGAATAATTTACTATTTTTCACACCAGGAAGTAAATTTTTTAATAAAACTAAAATTAAACGCCCTTAATTAAATGCCATTTCAGTTTTAAGATGTGTGGAAGTATTTTATTGTATTCAATAATTGCATCTATACATATAATAAAATTGTAGAAAAGTGCTGTCTGTACATTGAAAATAAAAATAAAAAAAAATAGCACGAGTTATTGTTATGTCGATGTCGAACCCAAAAATGTAATTAATTTTTTTTGTCTGTTTGTCTGTTCACGCTAATCTCAGAAACGGCTGATCCGAGTTGAATGCGGTTTTCACGAATATATTGTGGTATGCTTCAGTTATGCTTTAGTGTTTGTTTCATGTCAATTGGTTCATAAATAAAAAAGTTATGTCAAATTAAAGAATCCCGTCGAACACTATTCTATGCTTATACATACATAGGCACCACTAATTTCCGCAACTATTGGACGGATTTGGTTGAAATTTAGGAATATATGAATATAAAAATATATTTAAAAAAACGCTGCTCATATTCACTATTCCACGCGAACGAAGTCGCGGGCACAGCTAGTTTATAATAAGGAGCTAAAATCACGGAAAATAAGTAAATAAAAAATGAAATATACCCTAATATTATTAGAAAAAATAACACTAATTAAAATACACATTATATCTCGTCTGTAACATTATTTATACACTCATTAGTATTTTTTTTTATTTCTCAAGGCTGTTGTAATGTTTAACTAGTTCAAGCCTGCATTAAAATCTAAACGGTACACCTCTAGAGCGCTTGGTCAATTTGTGTGATTATACTCATAAAATAATATACTAATTATAAATTCATGTTTATGAGAAGACTGAATTAATTAAAGAGGATGAATTTAAAAAAAAGAACATAAATAATGTACAAAACATTCCATAAAAATTAAAATGATTATTTTTGAATATTGAATTGCGTTTTGTAGCTTTGTGTTTTTTATATCCTTTAGATGAATTAATGTAACAAAATATTAACTATGAATGTGGTGAATAGGTATATGTTTGTAAATAAATAGTTTTAGTAATTTACTTAGGTATCTAACGAGTATTGAAAAGACAACATTATAGTCAAGGAACCAAAAATAATAAAAAAAGACACCATCTATTGGTTTTTGTAGGAAACAGAACTCGTTAAGGGCGACTTGTATATTCAGTGGTCCTGCATTATAAGGACTTGACTTTGTAGACATGCGTATAAGGCGAAAGGCTAGCAAAGAGATTCATTAAAGCATTATTGTTTCTTTTTGACAAACTGATAATTACACTCTTATTACGTTCTCACAACGTATTAAAAATTAAATGAACATCGCTGGGGCAACATCGTTGTATAGATAAAATATCGTATAACGAGTGACGCCGCTGACTCCGCGGAACGAACACCAAGCCGTGTGAACCAGAATATTCCGATACCACACAAGCTATGGAATGGTATTGCTATCCTAACATCAGGGCAATCATGCAGTCCTATTTATAAAATTTATATAAGTTAGTTTATTATAAGTTTTAATATGTAACTCTTATTAGAGGAAATTTCTTAGCATTTCAAGGATTCATTGTGCGGAAGCCGGGACCATCATGTTGCAGGGAGAGGAGCTTCAACAGTGCCAGGGAGTTGCGAGTTGCGACCCAGGTGTATGTTTAAGGGCCTCTATCTAACACGCGTTAATCGCTCACCTCCGCTGCCCAAGCTCCTCTTTCTACCTAACCAAATTTGAAAAGAAGGCACTGTTCTAAGAATGATTTGATATTACATAGTTCTGGACAGGCCCGAGTCTTTTAGTAGGTTGTAGAGAGATTTAACTTTTGCCTCTGAATCGCGCCCACTTCCACTGCGTACAAATCCACGACGAACCTTTTTCAAACGAGTTCATTAGTGAGGAAATAATACTTATTGACCTTGATGGTATGGTCTTTGGGGATGTTGGTTTCCCAAGGAACCGTAAGCTCTATCATCACAACGCGCCTTAAAACAAATGAATATAGAAATATATCTGGTCTGGAGGCGAACGCACAAATATCCTCTCAGATTTTGTATTGTTTCTCATACGTATCCATCATTATAATCCAATCCCAAGCCGCTTTAAGGATGGAGTAAGGCTTGACGCTTGATTTTGTAGCCCTAGAGCCTTCTCTCACAAAACCTATTGATCGCTCGTTTGTAGTTTGCGTTCTGACTACCGAAATATTTACCGTTTTATATATATACTTACATATAAGTAAGTGTCGTAGGTACTTTTCCTGGAACCTCTGGTTGCTGTGGAACGCATCTTCTACCTTCAGTGTTTGTCATGTACTCTGTAATGAGTTAATTAGCCTTTTAATAAAACATTTTATTAATTACCAGTACACTTTCAGAGGATCATTTGACTTATTATATTATATAACACATTGTTATAAAATATAAAAAGTTACTTCAGCGTTTTACTTCTGACAACTGATGAGATTATCGTAATTAACGATTGTGTTAAAATAAAAAATATTTCTCTGAATTATATAAAAAACAACTGCTAGTTGGAGGAAAGTAAGTAATTCCCTGGAAATCTTGTAATTGTTTTAACTGTAAATTATTGATCAATTTTTTTTATGGCAACATGCAATTAGAAATTGTTGAACAAAATATTAGGAGGAATAATTTTCTGTGTGTGATATTCATACTTTCAACCCTCTTACAATCTAATGAAACAATTTATAAAATTCATCCAAATAAAACCGTTTTTACTTTTGTATATTGCTATATCGTTCCCCTTTTTTTTATGTCGCAGGGAAACTCTTTTTACGAGCCGTCCAACCGGCCTTGGTGGGGCCGGAAGGGATGTGTGAGGCTCGGCCTGGGCAGGCCCCTACTCACTAAAACCACTGCGAAAGCCATCGGCCGCTATGTTGGTGTACCCCGGATCTGTCAGCGACAGGGCACACTATATCGTTCCCCTGCCGTATGTAAGTTTACTGATCATTATAAATCATATTTATTACATAACATAACTATTAAATTAAAAGTTTTAACAAAATTGTTCAATGCCACATTCTGTATCAATTATCCAGTGCCAATGTGAATCAGTGGATTTTAAAGAATTCTATGAATGTGGCTGGAATTTTGGGGAATGTTGGGGCATATACATATACTCGTACAGTATATACACATAGGATATATTTATATAGATATTATTGAAATAATTGATAAATAAGAGGGTAGGACGTCGTACACAAAAACTGTCGGAGCAATTATTTGAAGTGCTTTTTGCTGAAACCCTTACATGAAGCGAAAGACTTTATTAGGAATAAGGTAGCTATGTATTTTAACTTTTATTCTATATTTGTCATATGTCTCATTTAGTTCACTGGAATAAAATGGTATTGTATAATATAGTATAATGTATGACGTTCTTGACTCTGCCCTAGAATCAGCTCGCTTTGGAAACCAGACGGATCCTTATACAGTAGGGTCAAGTAAGACGTACGATGACATTGATATACATTATTACCTGGGTTAGGTTTATTAACAGATTTAGACTTTAGATATGTATTTTAATACAACATATAGGCACTAAACCAAGACTAACCAAATCTTAATGAATGGTCTGGTTTTCATTACTCTCCTATCCTAGAAGACGGTACATAAAAAACGTAGACAACAAAATCATTGACATAACAAAGTTGTATAAAACTCATTTAATAGTCCATCATTCTGTTTTGTAATTTTACGGTAATTATAAATTTTGTTGTAAATTTAATAATTATAACATTAAACGTTTTTTTAAAGCCAGATCGTAAGTATCAGGTTAACCTTGTGAGGCATCAGTCGACACTAGAACCACTAGATTACTTCAATTATATAATTTTCTAGAAAAATCTTTATCTTTAGGTACAAAGAAAAGAATTTTGCACATTCCTATTACAGTAAACATCGATTACATATTAATCGTTTTATTATCTAGAGTATATTTATCTTTGTAGACTCTTACCTAAATGTGCATTGCTGTGATGCTTAATAAAGCTTTGCTTAACTTATCTTATAAATAATTATATGGAAATTAATATCATAATAAATGTAAATAAGTCTTCGATACTCTTTATTGTTGATCATTGAGGTCATTGTGAGTTCTACACTCGGACCGTACAGACGTTACTATTAGGACAGAGAGACATAATTGTTATAAAGGTACATAGTATAATTGTTATACACACGAGACATAAAAACATTTAATCAATTAATTATAACATTATATTTATTATTATGTATATTATATATATATATCTTCTTCTTCTACCTGACAATTTCCCAGCTTTAGCCAGGGTCTGCCTTACATGTTGTGAATAGTTTTGGCTAATTGTTTTTACGACCGGGCGCCTGCCTGACATCAACCCTCTTTGGGAATGCATTAATCAGTGATGTCTAAATAAATATATATAATATAAATACTTGTACACTTATGAGAGGTTATTGGTATATAATGTGTGTTATATTATGTATGTTACAGTTGTCCAAAATGAGTAGATTCGACCTGGTAATATTCGGGGCGACCGGATTCACGGGGAAACATGTAGTGAGAGAGCTCATCAGAATCGCTCCTAAATATCCAGGATTGACCTGGGCTGTGGCTGGGAGGAGCAGGGGGAAAATGGAAACGCTTTTACAACATTTCACCAAAAGAACCGGTAAGCGATCTATATATTATGAACTCTTCTTACTTATTAAACATGTATAATAATGAATATTGATATTCCTTAAAGTAACATATAATAACATTGTAGTAAGTATTGGTCTAGAATAGTTTTAAGTTTGAATTAAACCTGTTTCATAAAATGTAATGTCCTAAGCTGTAACCTTGGTCACGCTACATACACACATTTAGAAGAAGATCTTGAAAAAAACGACTTTATATACTAATAAATAGATGACTAAAGAAAATAACTGTCTTGATCACGCGACATGTGACTTTAAAGACACACAACAATGAATTTAATACTCGAAATAATGTAAGAAAAGGATACATTGACGTTTCAGTGACGCTTTAAAACATGCTTTGTTTTAGCTATTTTTATATTTTGTAAAGTTTTTGGATCACTTAAAACTATATTTAATTATTGAATAAATACATTTCCAGGTGTCGAACTATCTAATATTAAAATAATAATAGCCGACGTGAGTGACGCCGAATCTTTGAAGAGCATGTGCAGTCAGGCTAAAGTACTAGTTAATTGTTGTGGTCCCTTTATAAAGTACGGCGAGCCTGTGGTGTCTGCGGCGATCGAGAGTAAGACACATCACGTGGATGTGAGCGCTGAGATAAAGGTGAGGTAACGAACAACAGGGAATACTTTAATGTTAATGAAAGAGTAAGGAACAATGAGAATTAACTAAATATAAACAGATTAATATAGCTATATTAATATCACTAGGGGAGAGTTATAAATAATAACAGAAATTGTTGACTGAACTAATATACTTAATAATTAAATTAATAATATTATTATACTAGCTGCGCCCCGCGGCATTACCCGCGGATTTCCGAGATTTCCGGGATGTAAAGTAGCCTATGTGTTATTCCTAGATGACAGCTTCCCGTATACAAAATTTTATCAAAATCGGTTCAGCCGTTTGAGCGTGAAGAAGTAAAAACATACGCACACACTCACAAACTCGCAATTATAATATTAGTAAGATTGCTGTCTCTACATCATTAAAACTATCTCTGATCTTTTGCTTATGTTCTTTGACTTAGGACGTTGATTACTTTCTTTCTGTTTTATACACGTGCATTTTCATCCATTATATTCAAAACTAGGGAAGGCTATAAAGAATAAATGAACTATAAACATATACACAATATAGATCATTATTTCGTCTTATAGTATATATATAAAGGGTGTTTTTTTTAGAGGTATACAACTTTAAGTTGCCAATACTTTTTTAACTGGCAGTTATTTTGATAGCTGTCCAGTGATTTGTGTTTAATTTGGTTTGGCAATTCATCATGAATAGACTAACGCCTGAACATCGCCTCCAAATTGTGCAAATTTATTTTGAAAATCATGGTTCTGTTCGAGAAACGTATCGCGCACTACGTCCATTTTAAGGTCCACATAATCGTCCATCAAAATAATTAATTTAATTAACAATGGATCGTTTACTCTAAATGGTAATACGCATCCACAGAGATGGCCTACAGTGCGTACAGAAGAAGTTATTTCTGCTGTAGAGCGTAGCGTAGAAGAAGACGCGAATCAGTCTATCCGCCGAATAATTGGTCTGTACTTCTTTAGAAACGATGCTGGCCAGAACGTTACAGTAAATGGTGACCGCTACAGAGCGATGATTAGTGGCTATTTCGTTCATCAATTAAACAACCATAATGTTCAGGAGTTCTGGTTTCAACGAGACGTTGAAACATGTCATACAGCTCGTGCCACAATTGATTTATTAAGAGAAACATTTGGTAACCGCATAATTTCATGTTTCGGACCCGTGAATTGGCCCCCAAGATCATGCGATTTAACGCCGGTTGATTATTTTCTGTGGGGATATGTAAAGTCGTCAGTCTACGCTGATAAGCCCGAAGCCGTTGATCACTTGGAGGATAATATTCGTCGCTCTATTGCCGATATACAGTCACGAATGTTGGAAACAGTCGTTGAAAATTGGACCTCCAGATTAAACTACGTACGAGCCAGTCGTAGAGGTCATATGCCTGAAATCTTATTTTAATTATAATGAAAGAATATTATCTTTTCAAAATATTATATTTCATATCAATAAAAGAAATCGTTTTTGTTTTATTTTATTTCAAAGTTCTATACCTCTAGAAAAAACACCCGTTATATATATATATATATATATATATATATATCTTTTTTTTTTTAAACTCACATCTCGTCTGTCCGTGAACACGGTTGCTGTAAAGTAACCAAAACGTCGGGAGTATTTTTTTTCTTACAGAAAAAACCGTGTAGTATATCCGAAGAATATTAGTTTCATTTAAATATTTATTTCAGTTCACAGAGTTGCTACATCAGAAATTCGACTCCTCAGCTCGGGAGGCCGGCGTGTGTGTGGTGTACGCGTGTGGTCTGTGTAGTCTACCCGCGGATGTGGGAGTCTTGTACCTGCAACGAGAATTTGAAGGTATCTAGAAATATATATGTATCGATCTGCTTAGAGACGAAACCTCACCACCTCTCAAACTTGTCGGGTACATCGTTGTAGTGAGAGGAGCTTCAACAGTGACTGGGACTTGTGACCCAGGTGTAGGTTTAAGTGGCCCCTATCTATATTCATATTATAAAGCTGAAGAATTTGTTTTGTTTGTTTGTTTGTAAGCGCTAATCTTAGGAATTACTGGTTTGAATTGAAAAATTCTTTTTGTAAATGAAACTAATATTTTCGGATTTATTCCGCGATTTTTCATTTTTGACTATAAACTACATACTCACGACGTTTTGGCTACTTTTCAGCAACCGTGATTACGGGCAGACGAAAGATCTCGGCCTGTCAAAAATAATAAAATCGCGTAGTAAATCCGAAAATATCAGTTTCATTTAAATGAATACTCGCGAAAATCTGAGATCTCAAATTCTTTTTGTGTTCTATAGACCATTTATCAAGAAAGGCTTTAGACTATACAACATTACGCTGCGACAAATAGGAGCGAAGAAATAATGGAAAATGTGGATAAAACAAAGTCGAGGGCACAGCTAGTGTTATAGTAGATTATTTACTTTTAGATAAAAGAATTTTATTTATCGTAAACTCGGTTATCTTCTTGATAGGAAATAAATATATTAAAATTGGAATATGATATCCATAAATAAAAGAAAAAAATTGAAACAATGTAACTAAACGTAACTTGTATTGTATATGTACGGCGAATGTAAATTTTATAAAAAATGATATATAAGACTTTATTCCTAGCTAATGTATAAAATTTTAGTAAATAACGATGATTTGTTTTGTAATGACTTTAGACACAATCATTTACTGTACCTTCAATTCATCATGGCAATTGTGACCACGTCCAATAACTAAACACTGTTAAAAATTATTGTTAAACATATAAAACTTACGATGATATCTTTAATACATAAAATTGATTAATACTTCACTTATATAAACAGGTATATAATATTAATATGTATTCAATATGTTTCAGGTGTATTAAACTCAGTAGAATCATACCTCATAACTTACTTCCCTCCGAAGATGTTGTATGAGACCTGGAAAAATGGAATCGTTCGATACAGCACCTGGGAATCCTTAATTAACGGGTTTGTACTGTTCAACATAACCTACTAACTTTGAAGTTGGTTAAATGACGTAGATTCTATAGTTTGTATTGTCTTTGTTACAGTATGGCCAGCATATCGATAAAACAATTGCAACAAAACTCACTCCCGCCGCTGGAGCATGAACTGAAAAGCAGGTTAAACTTTAATTTGGCACTTTTTAATCAAATGGAAAGATATAATAATGTTATTAGTAATATTACCTCAATCAAAATATATGTGTAAATTACACAAACTATTTATGTATACGCTCCTTAAGTTCGACCTTACATTCCATATAAGTCTGTTCAATCGCATTTGTGTATTTAATATTAATACATTCTTTACAGATGTTTAATACATAGGAATCTCAACAAATGGTGCATTCCGTTTCCCGGTGCAGACGCGGCCGTCATCTCTCGCACACAGCGCCATCTCTTATCGACGACTGACAACCGACCCGTGCAATACAAACCGTATATAACTTTCCCCTCTATTTTCACAGCTATAGGGGCTATTATCGCTGGTGTTCTTTTGTTCGCACTCAGTAAAATGTCGTGGACGAGAAAATTACTTCTGAACTATCCACGGCTGTGTACATTCGGCGTGGTCACGTATGGTGATACTGAAGAGGGCGTAATGGATGACGCATACTTTCAATATGAAATGATGGGTAACGGTTGGAGTACAGGTGCAGACCGAAGTGGAGCGCCTGACAAAAATATGGTAGCAAGGATAAACGTATGTGATGTTGCAATTAATTTTAAACATTATAAAAAAATCTTAAGGTAATGTAATTTAAATAAACTATTTTTCAGGTTTCAGGGGTAGATCCGGCGTATGTTGGCTCTGCAATTGTCCTTATTTATTCGGCAATCACTTTGTTGAAGGAAAAAGACAGAATCCCTGAGTAAGTCTAACTTTAATGATTTTTTTGATTTATTTTAATAATATAGAAGATATTTTGTTTAAAATATATAATATTTGCCTTGTTGTTTCAGATGTGGCGTAATGACTCCCGGAGTAGCTTTCAAAAACACTAACATCATAGAACATCTTAAAGCAGACAGTGTCAAATTTGATATTGTTAAATAAAAATATTGTTAAATATTTCTTAATTTTTAAAGTTCAAATTTACAGGGAATATTGACTTTTTAGTTAGGAATGGTAAATGTGGTTTATTTTAAATAATAATATTTTTTTATGAATACTGGAATATTTTATTATATTTTCGCGATCCTAACGCCCTCTTAACTTTGTTATATGTACTTATATATGTAGTGGAGAAGATTGCCAAGAGATGGCGCTAGTCGTATATTTTTTTACCTAAGTAGAGTTTAATTGGTTTTATAATATTTTCAAATTAGCTGTATAATTTTATATATGTGTATTCATTACATAAAAGATTTTGGTATTATTTTTCTAGGTGATATAGACTTACTGTGGTCATAGATAATAAATTTGTTATGTGATGATCTTATTTTTGGAATGAGGATATATTCGACTTCTTAGGAAGATACACATCATAAAATAGGATTTGATTTACTGGCATTTTATAATATATACAACATTACTAGCATTATATAATATACGATTGAATAAAACATTAATATATCCGTAGAACTGTATACTTACTAAAGTTTCCAACATCATACTATAAGTTGGTATACGGAGCATTAACAGTTACAAAACTTAGTTTTTTAACTTTTGTTATTCAATGAGAAATGGAAAACGATTCGTATGTAGATGATGCAAAACTTGTATTAAGCATAGTTTCGTTAAATCGATAATAATTTGGTTTATATTTTCTTAAACTGCAAATATTAGTTCTGTGTTTGGAAGCTGGTACAGGGGATGTCTTTTATTCTTAAAGTAAACAGATACATAAAATCTGATAACAGGATGAAGGAATTGAGATGTTAAATCTCGAAGTCATCTTGTGTGAAGGGAGAAGTACATATATCAATACATCTTAATATTCCTAATTGTAATTTTTAATTAAATAATTCTGTCACTGTCTATTTTATGATTTCAGACTTTTTAAATTCTTAATTTCTTTAAGTGCTTTTTTTAATGTTTTATAAACAATGTAGTATTTTTATATTGGCGGGTTGTTTAATACGTGTTGTTGTTGCAATAAAATCATTGTAGATTCTGTAATCATTGAAACAAAAGATTTCTGTTATCAAGATAAATTATTACACAACTGCATAAAGAAGATATTGACACGTGTAAAAAAATAAATATTGTTTTATTTTGAAAATATAAAGTAAACGATTGTGTGAATTTAATTTAAATAAAACAAATGTTTTTGAAAATAATTACAATTAATTTATTGATAATTTCAAAGAGGAATTCTAATAATATAAAATGTACACACGGTTATACCTACCACTTATATATACAATTTAAATAGTTTAACACATTCTGTACACGTCGAATCAACTTTGTGTTTAAATCAAATTAAATTTATATTTCTTTAACATCATAAAGTAAACGAAATTTATTAATGATTCACAGTGAAAAATCTTATCACAAGCTTATATTAAAAATGTACAGAAAACAGCAATATGAGGATGTTTGACATATGAGTACATTAACATATCAAAAAAAAATTTTTTAATATTATTTAAGATGAATTCTATCTGATGTACCTACTTTATGCTTGCTGTCATCTTTACGAAAATAAATAAGAAAATAAGCTTTGGTTTAAAACATGTAAAAAGACGAAGCATTACATTGAAATAATGAAAAATCTATACAATTGTAAAAAAAAACACGAATAATTTAAGAGACGAGTGGACACTCGACTTACACTAACTTATGTTTAAGTCTTTCTTATATAATAAATTCTATTAATAAGTTTAATCTCATTAATTACTTATGAACTGTGACGGTACGTATCTTGTGTTCAAAGTTTAAAGATTATATTATGTATTATGTAAATTGACTCTTGACTCAATAGTTATAAATTTAAGTTAAAATTGAAGCTATTTGAGATAATGTATTATGTTATTTTAAAATGCCACAGTGTGAAGTATCGAGTAAAATTAGCTGGATTCCCGACTGTTCTCATTGGAGCCGAGTGTGTGTGTGTGTGAGGTGGAGGGAGTCACGTCTGGAGCAACGATCAGTCCCTCTTTAATCCTCTTCTTCTGTTTCATCCGTCTGTTCTGGAACCATATCTTGACCTGGGTCTCATTCAGCTGAAGGGCGGACGCTATCTCTATTCTTCTCGCTCTCGTGAGGTATTTGTTGAAGTGGAACTCTTTCTCTAGTTCCGTGAGCTGTTTGTTCGTGAAGTTGGTTCTCCCTGTGTTGTTCAGGTTGAGGAGCGGGTTGTTGAGCATCTGTCCGCCAGAGGGCGTTCGGTCTTGAGGGCTGCCCAGCACGCCCTGGTTCACGAAGTCCGCCGGTGGAATCATCAGCTTCGGAGCTGAAAGAAAAACGATCTCTAAGTGTCTCCATTATAAAGTCTATATTTTAATCTTTAAGATACGAGTATACCTAATATCATTGCTTTAATACTTTCTAAATTTAAGTACGATCAGATAAAAGCAACCGCAACGACTTCTGCAATTTAATGCCTCGCTAATGTAATTTGACCAAAAGGAAGAAGTAGGTTTTATAAAGTCAGTAAATATTTGGTTTTAAGATTCCACGATGATATCAATTAGATGTTTTTTATATGAACAATGTAATCGGACGCCGCGAGGGTTATTTTTTTCTCTCGTCAATATTTGCAGCCGCAGTTTGTTTGCGGAATCATGGCTTATAATCTTTTTACGACATCACAAAGAAATGTTCGTGGGATCAGCTCGGTAGGACGCTCGTGACAGGTGTCAATATTGGGAGATCCGCAGCTAAATGAGAAAACCATTAAATAAAATGGATAACTCTCTTAATCGAATTAAGTCTTTATTCATTTATATTAAAACCGTTTAGATTATTTGTAGAGCTTGATAGTTTCAAAGTATTTTATTCTGAAATGACTTATTTGGAAAACTTCGCAATTTCTAATTGTGTTTAATAAGATTAAATCGTATCATAGAATACAATATTTACTATAAATTCTTTCATCTAAGTAACATACGGAACCATTTTGACTGAACCAGTGTCGTAGAGTTGGTAATTTTTGTAAGTCAAGGGATACATTAACGTTGTCTGTTTGACTCCCCGCGGCGAGTTCCTAACCTACACTTCATGGTAAATATGAAGTCTTGACGTTTATTATTGTAGAAAAGTAAACAGGCCCTGGCTCCGAGTGTCGGTGATGTCAGCTCGATGTGTCAGCTGTGTCAGACAGCGGCCGGACACCGGGACACGTCCGTGAAGAAAACGATCGTAGATTAAAAACAAATGCTTGACTTCGAACGTTTGAGAGTCGCTCTTCATTATAGAGCAAGTGGTACTCGTATATATTATTCACCAAACAATTGTTTAAATATTCAAAAAATATCAAAATAGTATCAGTTTTAAGCCTATTTTTGTCAAAAGTTTTCAAAACGTGGGTTTTTATTTAGACTGTATTTATCGACGCAACTTTATTAATTATCTTTTTATCAACTGATTGTATAATTCTATTGTCCTTACTGTCCTTACGTTACGAACTTCAATAACAATTTATCCTGTAATTTAAGTATGCTTATTGTATTTCAATTATTATAAAACACTAATAAACTTATAAAGAGGACACAAGTGACAAACGACTGTATTGTCTTGACCGTCAGTTATTAGAAGCTTCGTAATATATTAATTCCCGATGTCTGCCCGCTCGTCCCCTGTCCAGTTAATCCTTTAGTAACATTTAATCAAACAATATGTTACTTCGTAACTTCTCTCTTTGATTTATATATTAACAGCTACACGGCTCCCTAACACCGCTTACTACGATGAGTCAGGAAACAATATTGTGTTGACTTTTATTCCAGTCACGATGAGTTCTTAAATGAATGTTTCCAAAATGTATAGAATATAAAGAATGTTGAGTATTTGTTTGATGATGAAGATGTTTTGAAGTGCCGATTAAAATATATGTAATGAAAATCATAGACTTAAACTTCTGGAGTAACAGAAATGTGTTTTTTATACATGTGTTTGCGTTAAGAAAGTCACAATAACTTATTTAGGAAGAGACTTGGAATATACGTCATAGTTTCGAATCTAATTTATATACCTATACCCACTTCATTCATAAGAATTGATTATTTGACTGTAGAATAGAGACATTTGTTACAGCTTTATATCCTAATATTTTAAACTGATCTAACCTGCTCACATCTCGTCTATCTGTGATCACGGTTGCTGTAAAGTAACCGAAACCTCGGGAGTATTTAGCTCAAAATAATAAAATACGTAAACCGAAACATATTAGTTTCATTTAAATGAATACTCGCAATAGTCTTAGATCTCATTACGCTCCAACCCATAGGTATACATAGAGTACATATTTTATGTATCAGTTGTATACATATATTAGCTGACTGTATGGTCAGCGTGCGGTTCATTCACAAGCGACTCAACCCGCATGAGTTCTAAACAAATAATCTGTTTACTCAGAGAGCTGGTCGGCCGCGGGGCCGGCGGTCGGATCAAACAAGCCGGCTCTCAGCTTGTACAATACTCAGGCGACATCCACCGGACTTGGTGTTTGTATTGACGCGTTCCCATTACATACATACATACACATATACTGATTGAAGCTATTTTATTATGAACCGTCGTGTTATGATTACGTCATCTGATTCAAATAGTTATAGAAGTTGTTAACGTGAATCTGTGAGAACTTACTTCTACTTTTAGTCAGAATATATTTCCTTATAATTCCCAAATATTTAGAACTTGTCTTTTAGTGACATAATTAAATAGAATTGTTTTTACGTTTGTTTATTGAGGAATAATAATGTAATATAGATTTAAACTAGGAGAATTCTTGCTATTAGACCATCATATATATTTAGGGTAATGGAAACAGACCGGTGATGCGCACACGCAGCCTTCTATGACAATATTGACAGTGACGCAAAACAAGACGCACACACCCGACACATACACGTGAACACAGCGGAGGTTTAAACATATTAATACTAAAGGATTTAAAAAGAGAAGATGATTGATATTATTAAAAATATAATATTGATAAAGTTTCTGGTCGAAAATGTTAAATTCTTAGCATTTGAAATTACTTAAATATGAACTACGTTCCATTTTCTTTCATTGTATGTAACTAACGCGTATTTTAATCTACTTCTCGGCGTAATACCTCAATCTGTATAATGCACGCCACATAATATATCAGTGGGTTCATTTTGAATGCCTGTGCATGTTTTTCCATCGGCCCGTTCCCCGTCAAAGGCCCCGTTTGTTTGTCTGTAACAGTAGAAGCGGCTCGCTACAAGCCTAATCCATTACCGCTACCAATATTTGTTCTGTTGCGAGTACGTACTTAGATTTCAGATCACCATTATGCAATACTTGGATTTGGGGATCGCAAAGACTGTGCTATAAGCTTTATAACATACTAATTCTAATAATAAATTTTATTAGTCTAATTAAATGCGAAATATTAACAATACTGGGTTTATTTGTAAGTTTTTGTTGAGTTTGGGAGCTAAACTCTTAGGCTCCTATTTCTTATGGCGCTACTATTTAGTCTTACTTGCTTAAGACGGGTTGGTGATTTCAAACTTATAATTGTGAAACTATAAGTCCAGGTTTCCTCACGATATCTAATATATTTACCAAAATTAAACTAGGGTTTTTGAATAAAGTACGTGATTTAATATACTATTTTTTATTTTACCGACGTTTTCGATTACTTTACAGCAAGCATGACTACGGACAGACGATGTCAAAGATTTAAAATAGGTAATAGTTTCGATCAAAGCGAGAGTATCTTAGATAACTAAATAATTGAATACATTTATTAAAAAGGATATATTAGGATATATCCTTGTTGAAACAGAATTAATATAGAAATGGTATTATCATGAAGTTTTATATTTTAAAGATAATATAAGTGGAATGGACAAAATGTTGTTTTAAGTATCAGCGGCGTTAGTTTTCTAAAGTCTCTCTCCGCATAATGAAATTTATTTGCTATCAATTTCTAAAGTAGATAATACTTAAAGGTCCCTCTGTCTCTGTTAGGTACAGAAAACATTATAAATATGAAAATAAATAATTATTAAATTATCTTAGTAAACACTATGCAGAGTGTCATGCAATATTATTTTAATCATCATCATCATCAGCCTATCAGAGTCCATTGCTGAGTAAAGGTCTCTTCTCACATGGAGAAAGTTAGAGCATTAATTTTGGCGATTTCCAATTATTTTTAGGTAAACCTTTAAAACTATTTGTCTGTTTTCTATAAGCCACTTTCACGGACTTTATTTAAAAGTCTATAAATAAACTAAGAATATAATAAGAATATACTAAGAATGTAATACTAACGAGATTAAAAGTAATACATATAGGTACTTATATCAAAGTGTTCATTAAAAATGCAGTACATCGAGTAGGTACGAGTGTGTAACAGTTATTTCTGTATTTGCCAACCCCTTGTATTTATTCAGTATGCGGGTCATCAATAACATCATGATTCCATCAATTCAATTGTTCAACGCTGACCGCATCCCGTCGCCGCCCTAACACAGCATCGCCTCCCGACTTCGCCTGCTTCAATTGAAACGTCTAAAACGAGGGGACTCATAGCACGCCATTGGTTGAATTGTACAACGGCAGATGCGTTTAGTAATTTTTTTCGACTGTCACAGAACGGCCATGTTTGTATAAATTCTTTACCGAAAAATGGATACACATAATAACTGACAAGTTGTCAAGTTGCCTCTGAATTGACATGGGTGGGGTGACATCACAATTTAAAGGTGTTTCTATAAGGTATGAATAGAGATGGGTACGGACCATGACTTATGTAATATATAAATGGATAACTGAATATTTAAAAATATAATGAGATGTGATACTTTCGCGAGTGTTCATTTAAATGAAACTAATTTTATTCGGATTACTTGGCGTTTTTAATTATTTTAAAACTACATATTACCGAAGTTTCGGTTACTTTTCAGCAACCACAGTGATCACGGACAGACGATATATAAAGAGTAAGTAGTTTTAAAATAATAAAATACGCGTAGTTATCCATAAAATATTAGTTTCATTTATATATACCTACATCTATTAAAGTTTCAGAATTTCAAGTATACAAAAAAACTCCCAAATATCCGAATATAACCGTTGCTTAGTAACGTACGGATCATAATAAGTCATAAGTAAGATAACAGTCGATATTAGAGCCGGGAGCAAACAAGCGTTTTAATAACTGTAATCCAATAATCCTGACTCCTGGAACAATAACATGCTTATCTGAAACAACTGTTCATAATAACGACTCATAACAACTCGACTAGACTAGATATATATATATATTAATAGTTTTAAGAGAAAGGACGTGACTCTTGCTAATGTACTATAGAATTAAATAAACATAGTTTACTAGTTATTACCCGCGACTTAGTCTGTTTTAGTATCATAATTAGAAAAGTTAAGCTGTCCGGGTGAACTCTATTCCTCCTTAAAGAAAGTAGATAAGAAGGTTTTGATTTGATCAACTTTTTTTCTGTTTCAATCGGATGAAAAGTATCCTATGTCTTTTAACTTGTTCTAAGCTATCTCTCCACTAATTTTCAACCATATCCTTACAGCCATTCCTGAGTAATAAAGAGTGTAACCAACACGATTTTCTTATATAAAGATAATGTATTCGTGGTCTATGACATATTGAGGTTTTTAAATTATAATAAGGCTATAAACTCATATGGTTTATTTATCAATGAAGGTTTTAAAAATCAGGAATAC